TGTGTGTGTGTGTCCGTTTTGATTCCCCATTACCTGCCGGGCGGCTCACCGTGCGCCCGACGAATACTTCGCCTTGGTGATGAGGTACAGGACGATGTCCTGGTGGCCCCCGAAGGCGGCGATGTGCAGGGCGCTCCAGCCGTCCCGGTTGGCCAGCCGGATGTCCGCCCCGAACTTGACCAGCAGCTTGACCAGCTCCAGGTTGCCGTCGATGACCGACTGGTGCAGCGCCGTCTGGCCCTCGGGGCCGAAGGAGTTCACGTTAAACTCGCAGTTGGTCATGTTCTGCAGCAGCGAGTGCAGCTCCTTCGTGTTGCCCTTCTTCACCGCCTCCTGAAACACCCTCTGCGGCGCGGAGCACGGCGAGATCTCGGCCTGACTCATGCTCGGTCGAGGGTCGAGGAAAAGCGAGAGATCCTGTATTGGTGCGTGTGTGTATATATGCACACACACACAGGAAGCCAAAAACCTGCAACCGCGGCCTAGATTTAGAAGAATTTTAAGAATTCCCCAATAGATCTGTTAAAGCACTTTTTGTTGCTGTTGTTGTTGTTGCAAAAAACAAAGATGCAAAAAATGCGTTTTTAAAAGTAGGGGGGAGGTGGGAAAAAAACCCCACAGTCGCCTGTAAGTTCCCGAAAAGAGGGGGGAGTTTGAAGAGGACACACTCGGTGTGCAAGAGAGGAGAAAAAAAAAACCCTCTCTAGACAATGGGTTGAAACAAGCCGGAGATGAACAGCGCTCGGATGTCGTGGCTTTGTAACCGGAGTCTTCACCCAGCGAGCCAGAGAGCACTGTGAGCCGAGAACTCCCCGTCGCGCCCGGAGTGAGGCTGTAGCAGCAGACTGCAGGAGCAGAATTCAAGAGTGTCGCGTTGTAGGAGCAATTACAGCAACAACACCAAGAAAAAAAAACACACAACAACTATTTCCAAACAGAGCGGTGAGTTGCACGCCGATACAGACTGACGGTGGTGGTGGTGGTGGGGGGGTGTCTTCTTTTTCCTTAAAAAAAAATAAGTTACCTCCTCTTGCGAGCGTCTCGTGAAAATTCCTTTATAAGCCCCCCAGTCGCTCGAAGTCCCTTTTAATTTATGGCATTTGTTCTGCTGCAAAAAAAGGAAGAAAAACACAGACTCGTTATTATGGTGAAAGCCTTTTGACATACATGTTGCGTGCGTGTGTTAAAAAAAAACAACAACAACAAACTTTAACAGCGCAGAAAGCTTTAAGGATCATGCCGAAAGGGTCAACACATCGCGATGGTGGCGGCGGCTGTTGCATTCTCCCACTACTTGCCTGTACACCCAGGAGGAGTCCTCGACAGAGCCTCTGTATTAATCCACCGGTGCGACCCCCTGGTAACCGCTGGTCCGCTCAGCCTGTGTCTGCTGGCGAGCGGGGCTGACGGGACCGTTTTTACAAGCCCCTTATTTGCATAATAATGGATTCCCTTAAACCGAGCTCTGCTGAGAAGGGGCGGAGCCCGCGGACGGTGATTGGCGGTTGACGGCCGGTGGGCGGGGCCCCGAAGCCGCAGTTCCGCGCTGTGGGCGTGGTTTACACCCCTTCCCCCTCCCCTCCCCCCAGGCGAGCCGTAAAGTGGGCGGGGCTACGTTACACCCCAGGGACGGTCTGCGTGGAGCGTCGAATCGAGAGAAACGAAAACACCCCCCCCCCCCCAAAAATAAAAATAAAGTCTGTCATGACTAAGTCGGTCGGTATTTTTATTTTTCATAAAAACATGTAATGCGCACATTTTATCGCGACATATATCGAAAACATTTGCTACTTAAACATAGTATACGCCTGCAACAAAGTTAAACATTACAGATCTTGCAATGCAGAAAACAAATGATGTGAATCAGAACTGCAACAGACAGCGTTTTAACTGTTGGCAGGGGTATTTTATGAAATGCTCTGAAAAGATGATGATTTTTTTCCAGCCGTTTCCAGAAAGAAGCGACGGTATCGGTCTAGAGACAACATGCCTGGGCAGCTTGCTCCACACCCCCACAACGCTTTGTGCAAAGACATTTTTGAACAACGTGCGTCCTGCGGTTCGTACCCATGCCCAGCCCCATGCCTCTGATGGTTCGGGAACAGCTGAGTCGGCTCTTCTGTTGAGGGCCTCACAGTTAAATTATTTTCGGCTTGCCCGTCAGCATTAGGCCGAGAAACGCTTTTGATCCCTGCTCTCTGGGCCGAGTCCAGAGCCGTGAAGTTTACCGGGTGGGCTGTGGGACGAGGGGGCAGCCCGTGATATCGCTCTTGAGCGTGTCTCCGGGTGGATCTGAGGGTTAATTTGGCGATACCTGATCTGACAAACAGGGGGCACAAGCGGTCAGTTTGGGGGATTCGAGCAGTCTCCAGGGGACATGAGCCCCCCAAACGGTGAAACCCGTTTCACCCAAACGGATGAAATATTGTCTCTTCCCAGTGAGACCAGTTACTGTCAAGACCCGTCGACATCTCCCGTCCGCGTCGGAGGGGACCGACAAAACCACCTCGTGTGGCCGAACCGCAGAAACTGTTGTCCCGGCTCCATGAAAAAATATATATTTTTTTAATACGCAATACAGATAAAAACATAAAGAAAGACAGGCCGAGGGCTCCCCGCAGCCGCGCGCGCTGACGGGTGTGGAATGGCGCGGGGCGGTGGGCGCAGCACCCCCAAACCCCGAACCCCCGGAAAAGACGCGCACGAGCCGTGCGGGGCACCGGCCGTTCCAGACCCACCCGCGCCTCTCGATACGCGCACTTCAGGAGCTTTGGGGATGCGCGATATCTTCTCGCTCTCCCGTGAGCGGTCGACCGGCGGCGGGACGCAAAACTCTCGGAAGCGTCTGGCCTCGGCCTCTGGAGTAACTGCAGGCCCTGGTGGAGTCGTGTCTGTTTCACAGGGGTGAGCGCGCCGGGGGCCCTGCTAGCAGGCGGACCTGGCTCATGGGCACTGCGTGTGGTTTCAGAAAAGGACAAATCCAAACATCTGGCCGTTCTTTGGATATCGAAACAAAGCCGGCGACAGGCTCAGCAAATGCTTTGTAGACACACAGTGTATCGAGAACTTGCTCCGAAATCGCCGCGCAGAGATGCGCGTCTGGCGCAGGGGCCTCTCGGGCGCGACAGGACAGCGACCCCGCCGCTCGCTTACAAACGAGGTTGAGTGGGATTTAGCGCCCATGCAGGGGAAACGTAGAGAAAAATCCCTTTACGCGCAGAGACAGGACCGCGGAGCATGTTTGAACTCCCTGTTTTTGTTTTTGAATATCTACGGAAATATTTACAGCCGATTGCTCTGGGCGCCCTCCGGCTCCCGAACCGCAACGCTGCTGTGAGAAACGTCTGAAACGGAGCGGTCGATTTCTGAGTCCGCCTCTAAGACGGGGGTCCTGTTTAAGTTCTGTTTATCATCCAGGTGGGGCTGCACACTGGTGGTGGTGGAGGGGATCCCCATTACCTGTAAAGCGCTTTGAGTGGAGTGTCCAGAAAAGCGCTATAGAAGTGTAAGCAATTATTATTAATGATGATGATGATTATTATTAAGTGTAAGATTAGACCCACCCGCAATAATAAAGAATAAATTATGATATGGTAAATTCACGTCTCTGATTCTGCTTGAATGCTTCTGTCCGGGTTCCCCCCCAATATAAACTGCGTCTCGCCCAGAAGTTCCTCCGTGTGCACCCACGTCTCCACAGGAGTTATTCGGAAGCAGAGGTCCGCCGAAGGGACTCCTGTTACAGTAGACACGCACCCCACACGCACACGGCACACAGCGGCAGAGCGGTATTTCCTGAGCGTCTGTGATGCACAGCGACGGAATAACCGCCTTCTGAAGTTCCTCCGGTGTCATTTTTTTTTCTCTCGTCACGTTTATTTTTCGGTTTCTCACGGGCGTGCGTGTGTGACTCCGGGAAGCGTACAAGGCCGTAAATAAAAAAAACAACAACCTTTTTTTTCCCCACACCTGTGCCAAGCTCGGCGGGACATATTAAAAGAACACATTCGCAGGTTCCTCGCTTTTATTTCGAATTGTTGTCACTGTTAGGCATTGCGATGTTTCTGCCTACGTTCGCCTTTACACTACAGTTGGACGTTTTTCCTTACACGATGAAATACACGACTGTAACCATCGCCAGCACAGCCAAAGGCCTCATTGTGGTGAGCAGGCCTGTCACTTAGTTCCTGGGTGGCCCGGAGTCTCCTGGGCCTTTTTACTTCTGCCGAGTTCTGTTACATAATTGGGCTAATTATTTAATTGACTGCAAAATTGCAATCCGTCTAAACGGGCTTTGATGTGATTTAGAGGTACGGTTAATGAAGTGAGGGTTTTGAGCGATCAGCTGCACAAGACCTTAAAAAACCTAATTAATACACTAACTAGGGTTAAGCGTCCGCCACCCAGGTTGGTACAAGAGAAGCATTAGGCGCTCCAGGTACGCGGTCTGAGGTCTTCGGTTCTCTAAGCGGTGCGGAACTTTGCAGACGCTCCCTTGCCGCCGGAGACCACAGGAATGTGCGGATTCGAGCGCTCCCGCACGACACACATTCGTCTCTCTCTCGCTGTCGGCGAGAAGAGCAGCGCTTACCGCCTCAATAGAGTCACAGCAGAAGTGTTCATTTTCTAGCAACGTGCACGCTAACGGCCGCCGCACTTCAGCGATGTCTTGGAAGAAACAAAACAAAACAAAACGGTTTCATTCCTCCCAGCAGGAAATATTTCAAGCTCCGAAGAGTGGGACAGATACCAGTTCTCGCATTCTAGTGTTCAGTAAAACTGAAAATCACACCACAGACCAACCTTTCGACTTGCATTAAAAATCTCCCAAGACAATCTTGTAATCACGGGTGCAACACCTATAAGACGTCTATGCATGCACCTTCACATTTTCAAACGACACTTCAGTGAAAAAAAGTCCTATTTCTGTAGTGTGAGTCTTAACTGAATGCCACAAATAATTTCTAACTAGCGTGCCTTCTGTTTGGCGCTCAAGGCCCCCAGCACCTTACGATCAGATGACACGGGAGCTAATCTGTGCTGGTGAAATGCGACTTATTTTAAATGCTCTTTGTTTTTTGTTTCATCTCTCCGCAAGGTCAACCTGTCGCGGACGTGCATTTTGAAAGCGCTTCTGAAGTTCTGCAACCCGCACGAACGCAACGGGGATTCAAACGTCCAGAAAGGCAGCTAGAGACACAATACCGGCGGGCTTTCGCGGGTGCAATGAGAGGATGGAAAACTGAGACACATGCAGAGCACTGTAGCGCTAATACTCCGGAATAGGTCCCCACTGCACGCCTTACTGTGCGATTTGGCGCGCTTGCTCCTGACAGAAGACGTGACAGCATGGTGTGGGCGGGGCCAGAGGACTGATGGGCGGCACCCCCGCCCCCCTGGAACGGGTGTGACGTCTCCCCGGAGGAGGCGGGGCCCGGGCGATACAGTTCCTGACCACGTGTTTGCAGAGCGTGGGAAAGAGGCTAGCTTTTCTTCCCAGCACAGGGGAGAAGGGGAGATCATATATCGTGCTACCGCTTAAAGCTCAAGGCTGCTCGACTATAAAAGTTGAGGGTGAAGCACCGAGCCCAGACAGGGGGAAGGCTGAGCTATTTAAAAATAAAAAATAAAAACCGCACGAACACGGTTAGGAGCAAGCATTTCGGTGCCCCGTGTCTGAGCCTTACAAATATGTACAAATCAGATGGGAATCAAGGTTTAATTTGGGCACAGAGGGCGTAAAGGAAACCGCGGCTGTGAAAAACAGTTGCAAGTTGAAACAAAGGCTTTCTCCTGCGCCGCGCACAATGCCACTGTCGGTGGGAGCTGGATCTGAGCTACCTTTTCCCATTTTCCTGCCGAAAGCTGCGACTGTGACCTCGTGGCCCCGTTTTGTTTTTTAACCAGAAGCGATCAGCTGCGGTTCGGTATTTGTTTCAGAGAGGAATAAGAAGCATATTTCCCACCCCTCCCAATCTGTGTAGAAACCGTTTTATTTTGAAGGGTTTTTTTTGTGTGTGTATTAGACGCACAACTACCCTCCAGCCAAATGTAGGGGGGTCAACTCTGAATCTAACGCTGCGCGTAGCTCTCACAAGCAACACGGCTTATATAGGGGTAGTCAAAATGCCGTCTACATTACAAATTACAGGGGTTACTATGACAAAAAAAGGTTTCAAAAGCATACATATCGAAGTTTCTAACAGTTACCTTACAATCCTTCGCCACCCGTGGAGGAGAAAACCAAACCGTTAGTAAAACAACTGGCTTTTATACTCGACGACGACATTTCGACCAACCCTGTATATATTCACGATAGAATGACCCTGTCACAAAATACAGGCGGATTAGGGAACTGTGTGATGTTATGAATCATGTGAAGGGGTCACCCATCTTTAAACGTCGCAAACGCCTCCCGGCAGCACGCTCTGACGCGTTTTCAGCCGCCTCTCCGAGGAGAGCCATCGAAGGAGAGTTCACGGGTGGGCTCGGAAAACAGAAACCCGGTTTGCATCCGTCACCAGCCCACAGCACTGCACCACCCCCGGTCCAGCTCTCTGCCTGCACCGGCGTTCAGGACTTCCAAAACCTCCACCTCCCGAGCACCCGGGCAAACAAGCGCTCGTCGCATGCTTTTTGGGAAAAGGTACCGATCTCGAGATATTGATCACCGCATGCTCCGGGAGGGCCACTGTGATTAACCAGTCGCTCCCGAGAGCGCGCCCAACCCACCTGAGGTGTTGCGTCAGTGCTACTTCACTCCCTGGACGAGAGGTGACTGGGCACGGGTGTTGAGCTGCCCGGCTGCTGCATGCCACCCCTGGGGGGGGGGGGGACTCTTAAACGACAAGCAAGAAGCAGCCAGGCGTTCCCTAAATGCCTTCACACCTGCTGAGCCTCAGTGGTGAGCTGCCAGTGGTGAGCAGCAGGGTGATCTGGCTGCTGGCACCCATCACCCCACACTTAATTTAGAGAACTGCGGCCCTTACGAGTCGGGGGGTCCTCAGCTCTTTGCTGTGGAATCCCAGTGGTCACGTGCTCCCAGTGGATCCGACTCGGCTGGCTCTCCCGCCAGGGTTTACAGATCACCGGACGGGAGAACAGGTCTGGGGCTGGCTATCCTCCGGACAGTCCAGAATCCGTGCCATTCCTATAAGGCTGACCCTGCGAGGTGCGTCCCTCCCACCCCCCTTTCCTGGGATCGCTCAGGGATCGCTCAGGGCCTCATGCCGGAAATCCGGGTACCGGTTGGGATTCGACCTCCCGTTCCTGGTCTCTTTCCGTCTCTGCATGCGCCCAGAGGCCGGCGAGCAGGGAATTCGGTTTTCATGCCTGCCCACCCCAAAAACAACTCCCATGTAACAACAACAACAACAACTGCCAAACTCCCTTATACTCCAAATAGTCTCCACTCCACAGTACCCTGTGAACAAACGCCAGCTCTTTTTTACGACACTGCAAACTGTGAAAGCACGTGGCACTGGCCACACACATAATTCCCCTGGGGGGGGGGTTGGAGATGGAAAAGGTCAATTAGCCAAGTCCAGGATTCCCAGCCTGAAGGCAGTTATCTGGGGACCACTGCCTTTTGTGGGTTTCTGTCAGAGATGGGGGGGCATCTTCCAAACTCCAGTCTTATGTCCGTGTGACCACTCCCTCCCCCCACACAGTGCTCAGCCTCTGCTGATTCACACTGCACCCTGAGCCCTGAGTCACTTCATCTCCCTCCTCTGCAAGCAAACATCTCCCATCAAGGTGCTCTGCTCTCCTTTGGGCTCTTCTGAGCAGAAAGGCACCTGCTCACGCCGGAGGGTCTTCAAAGCAGGGGGGGGGGGCAGTGGAGGCCGAGAGCTGCTGGAATTCACAGATGCGCAAGAGAGGCGATTCTGAAAAAGTGGTGTATTTATTAGGCGAGTTATCGCTTACTGAGGCGACACAGACACGGTAAAACAAGTCCCCAGCCTCGGGCCGGAAAATGCGACACCCCTGCGGGAGAAGAGAAGCATTTTCCTTGCCAGAGCAAACCCATCCGAATACAAAAACAAAATTAAAACACGTTGTTCCCGCTTGGACTCGCCGATTATTTGAGGCGTCGGAAGACGAAAGAACTCAAATCTGCATCTCCATCGCGAAGCTTTAAAAGAAGTCTAGCAGAGACGGGATCATTTTTTTTTGGGGGGGGGGGGGGGGGGGGGGAGAACAACAGAAGGTCCCGCTGTCATAAAAACAGGCTGACGGGTTTTAAAACAATCCGAGCTTTTACCCAAGAGCCCTACGAGCCAAGACTCGGGGGGGGGAAACTCGCTAAAACAAACCACTCGTTCTCCTTCTGCGGAGAACTCCTCTGAGTGCACTGGCGCGCACTGGGTCTTTCCCGCCTCCCTATCCCCTACCCTCCCGGGGCCTCGGGATTATCCCGGCTCTGCCGTGAGCACTCCTTGTCGGGAGTAAACAAAAAAAAAAAGGGGGGGGGGGAAATTATTGTCAATCTGCAACATGAGAAAAGCGTTGTGTTGCAAAGCAGAAGCAAGGTGTGCAGATCCTACAGGGGTACAGACGACAGGCAGAAGGTGTGGACTGGGACAGTACTGGTGACTTATTGTTGAAGTCTGTTGCTGCAGTGGCTTCTGGGACGCCCTGTAGCGCCGAAACAGGCTGACCAATCGAAACCCTTGCTTTCGGGCTTGCAGACGAGGATGCCAAGACAATCGGGGGCGTTGAGGCCCCTGGGGGGGGGGGCCTGCGGTCAGTCGGTCAAGTCCTGGTAGAGGGACTCGCCCTCCTCGATGTGCAGCACCTCCTGCAACTGGGACAGCACCCTCCCGAAGTGGGAGCCCTCCCAGAAGACCTTGCCGCAGCTGGTGCAGACGTAGAAGAGCTCCACCTTGCGGAGGACGCCGGGGGGCACGGCGTGCAGCTGCAGCGCAGCGCCGCTGGCGAAGGTCAGGGTCCGGGGGTCCATGTCCGCCGGGGGCGCCCACTGGCACTGCGAGGCGTAGCGGGGGGCGTCGGAGGAGGGGGGAGCGGCGGCGGCAGCAGCAGCCGGGGGACAGCCCTCTTTCGCCCTCTGCTCCGGCTCTTCGGAGCCACTCCCCTGCTCCGGAAGCAGGCCTGGGAAAATCAGAAACGCACAGCTGATGCCCTCAAAGGCTCTAGGGCAGCCCATTCGGCGGAACGTTTAGGCACTCCCAGCACGGAACGAATTCGGGATAACGGACAGTAACCGTAGCCGGGGGGAAGGCGAGGAAGATTAGTTTCGTCTACATTCTTCTGGAGTTTGTAACTGCACTGCGGTGGTGGCGGCTCAGGAAGCTGGAATGGGATCGCTCAGGGCTCCCAGCCTCTGCGATTACGCACCTGGGTGCTCTCAGCTGCAGGACAGGACAGGCACACCTGGGGCGGCCCCAGTGACTCACTTCCTCCTCCTCCTTCACTGCTGTCCCTCCACGGAGCGCTCTGCCGCCAGGTGCCAGGCGGAGAGAGATGCGTTACTGCGCAGGTGCCTCCCTCGTCTTCCTGTCTCACGCTGATCCAGGCGGCACCTGTGCCCCGCCGCTCAGCCTCTGTGCACCGGCCCTGACCACTTCCTTAGCCCGTGGGTAACTCTGCCTGCCCCCCCCCAACACCCACCCACCCTGGGGAGCCCTGGAGATCGAGCTCCTTCTGCAATTCCCAGAGAGATCCGACTAGGCCCGAGTGCTCGACCTGAAGATCAGGAGCAACGCCCCCCACAAAAAAAACTCACAGAAAAAAACTTAAGAGGGATTTTCTCCCGGCTGGAATCAAAGAACAGTCCCCTCTCTGCCCTTTGGGAATCCTTTTCACGGTCATTCAACATGCCTGTGGTACTCTTTTTTTGTTGTTTTTTTTGTCGCTCCAAGCTGACGGACCCTCTGCTGGGAGACCGCTCTCACAGGAAGTTGTATTAGTTTGATTTGCTTTCCAGCACAGAGACCAGCGAAGGGAAAACCGACGTCGGGCTGGACGCGTATTCCCGGCCGACTCTGCCCTCCTCGAGCCCGCAGGCAGGACTGACGGATTTCTCGAGCGGTTTCCGTCCACTGCTCTAAGGAAACTGTGGCCTTGCGGAAGTAGCATTCCAGATTTTGTCAACTCCCTGGTCTTTGAAACAGAACCAAAAGCTGGGAAGTACATTTAGCACTCAGCACGGGAGACATGTCTCTTCGCAAAGGGTGCTGGGAGTCTGGAACGAGCGGTTCAGCCATATTGTGAAAGCGGTTGCCTGGCTTTTTTCAAGTAACGGCTAATGAGATTTTTCTCCTGTTCTTAAGCCAATAACCACGCAGACATTCTCAATCCAGGAACTACCAACCACACAAAAAAAAACCCTAAAAGCTCCCTGCTGTCTGATGGACGAATACACCACACTGGGGACATCCCGAGAGACAGCCCTCAGCAGGCTGGGAGGACTCATTCCCTCTCTCTTCCTCCTTTTTAAAGCTTTAACAAAAGATTTCCCATGGCCTCCGTCTGCCGACATACTGGACACAGCAAAATCATCAGCTATGAGCTTGAAGTTGTCGACGCGCTGATGAATTAACAGCAGACACGCCTGCAGGACCAACAGGCCGTCTTCAGTAATATTGCTGCGTCCTTACCAGCTTAAAACGATCCCCCTCTGTGCTTTTTGGGGGGTTTATGATAAAGTAAAATGAAGCAATACTCCACTCCACATCAAGTCTGCTAAGCTGTTATCCAGCAGGGGAAAGGCACCTGGGACGGTTACTGAACAGGCCTGCATCTTCAGGCTTGCATTCCAACACGCGCCGCGCTGCCCACAGGAAATGTATACGACGACAAGCTCAGAGCAACCCTGCTTTTGAGCCGGGAAGACACTTCGATATATCCTCACAGCTCAGACATGCCGCCCTCCCCCCTCCGGCCCGGTCAACGCCTCCTGCGACGGTCCGCGCAGTCTGTACTTGTGTGTGTCGCTCCAGCGCGGTACCCGCTTGTGGGGCGCACGTCTCTGTGGCGAGCTGGAGAGGTGCACCCCCCTAGAGATGCGTTTAGGGGTAGGGTGGGGGGCGGGGGATCCGGACTTAGTGGGGTTTAGTTGGAGCTTTGGAGCACCAGCTCCTCGGGCCGAGTACACGCACCAGATTCCCGAACCTGCGGCTGCTCTCGTCCCGAGACACTAACACTAAGGACACCAGTCATCCCGGTTTCTCACTTTTCTCCCCCCTGCCCTCTGGTTAGCGCTACAGGAGCATAAAGGCACGAATGTCCGGATTCAGAGACAGTTTCTTCCCACAAGCTGTTAGATTACTGAACTCTACCCCTACCACCGGCTCACACTGGTGGGGTTTTAGTTTTCAAAGATGTATGTTATTCAACTTGTTGTGACTGTTGGTGCTGCTGCTGTTCTGTTTACCCCAGCACCAGCAGGGTAAAACGAACCCAGCTCACGGACTTATTAGTGGGTCGCCGAGGGGCCAGGGCTGGGGGGGGGTTGGTCGGTGTGTCTGAGGCGCCAGGGGGCGATGACGCGACAGGACCACGCGGCCCAGGATGCACTGGGGCCGGCTTGCGCTCCCCCACTCCCCCCTCAGCCCCGCTGAAGTGCCCCAAGGGGTGACAGGTCGGGGTGACAGGTCAGGGCAGGCAGGCAGTCGCTGGCCCGCGACGGGGGTGGGGGGTGGGAGGGTATCCCTTTGCTAATGGGTGTGTTTAAAATCGTAACAGTCAACACAGGGCCCTTCTGCCTTCTGTTTCGTGTGGCATTGTGGCTTCTCTTACACCCATTAGATTGGGTTTCCCAGGCAGCGCTGGGCAGCGCGACTTTCTCACAGGCTGGAGGGCGAGGGAGGGGCCAGGAGCTGACCTCCGTCCAGAGACAGCCCCGACTCTTTCTTCTGTTCTGCTGCTCTCTCTCAGGGCCAGGGCTGTGAGAAAGTATTTGAGCAACAGGTGACAAACCTTTACCAGGCAGCTCAGATTAACCCTTTCCCCTCCGGGGGAAAACCTTTTCGCCTTCCTTGCTTTGCCACACGACATTCCGAGCCCAGAGGACGGGTTCGGCAGCTGGGTCTGCTGACCGACTGGGTCTGTGATCACTGGGATCAGTGATCGGTTACCATTCAGACCTAACTTTAACAATGAAGCTAAGCCACTGCTGCAGAAAATCTAATCAACCCACCAATTAATTCATCAATCTCCACTGGCTCTAATTAGCCCAGCTGTAGGTACAATATACAGTAGCAATATATTTAAAGAAGAGCATGTATTTACAATGGAGTGACATCAGCAATGTTACCGATTTTCCTCTTGTCTTTATGATCTGCAACTTGTGACAGGGGCACGGACACATTTTGATGTGGACTTTTCACGGTAAAGACTGCCTTTCGGAAGAGGCCATCGATTGGAGATGGCAATGACGCTGGGCACGAAAGAACGTATTTGAAGAAACGTGAAATGGGTGAACCTTCAGGTAATGTCTGAGACGCGTGGAGGCAGGAGTTAAAGTGCCCCTCGTAACGACGTCACAGTCGGAGTTGGGGCGCTGTGGGTATTTCGAAAGAGGTGGCCTTTTCAGTTTTAAAAGGACGGGACATCATCAAGCACATGAGCACATCAAGGCATTATCAGGTGGACTAACGAAATGACATGAAACGCCACATTACTCACTGCCCTTACTCGCCGCTTGTCCTGCGAAGTTAGGGCCTCTGAACCGTCGGCTCATCTTTATTTTGCCAACGAAATCCTGGACCAGGAACTCTGGGCTTCCTGCTCCCAACGACCTCTGTCGCAATCTGCTCCTTTCTTCCGGCCCGCTTCCCCGACTGCAGGTGAACGGGGTTGCGGCTCCGACGTGCTGAGAGAGGACCCTGGGACCCGCGAGCCTTTCCCAGCAGCCGCCAGTATGACCTCACCTGCCCGCCCCGCGGTGAGGAAGCCGCGATCACTAGGAGATCACGTTCTCCGGCATTGCGACATCCTACTCAGACATCCCACACCTGCCCCCCCCCACCTCGACACCCTGCCATGTGATGGACAGACACAATGGAATCTGTCTCTCGATCTCGGCAGCCTGTTTCCGCTGCGGAGTGACAGCTTGGCAGCTCATATCTGAAGCCCGAGTTACTGACTCGTTTATTGAACCGGATTGGCTACTTTAGAACTATTCTGTACGAGGGTGACCCGGTGACCAAGTTCATAGCCATCGGAGGGAAGTACGTTGTGCAAGTGGCGTTCCAGCTGGGATCTGAACCCCCCAGCGCTCTGGGCAGGGTTGGTTAATTGGAATGTTTCTTAAACAACAAATCAGCCTAATTGATCACTGAAACCTCTACAGCATTGCAGCATGCATTTAAGGGCATTCCTGAGAATTAGGACATTTAGAAAATAAGTATAGTGTTATATATTTAAATACAAATATTACATTTAAATATTTAAATAATATATATTGTGTTCGCAATCTGTAAGTTGTTTAGTCCAGCTGTTCGAGCGTCTACAGTGACTATAAGTACTATAGAAGTCAAGACAGCCAGAAGGGAGTTTGAAGGCTTAAAACTGGCAGCAAAAAAGCAGTGAGAGGAGGAAAGTACATTTTTCTGCTTATACCACAAGGCAGAAAAATGTCGAAGCGCTCGTATACTGTGGTTTTAAAAATGACGTTGTGTATATACTGCAACATTAATGCATGCAAAAACAATATGTCCTCAATTCCCAGGCCTGTAAAGTTTTTAACCCGAGGTCTTAATGGCTGAGCTGAACCAATGAATTCCGTAGCCGGTAATGCCGACTGTTTCCAGGGCTCGGGTTGATACGGGCTCGACCGGGTTCACGACTCACCTCTCTCTCGCAGCAGGCGTTCCATCTCCTCCCTCGACATCCTCATGTAGCGGTCCCCGTTGCACACCTGAGAGCAGACGGAGCAGGGTTACAGTGGACGCGCAGGGCAGGGGCAGGCAGACAGCACCCCTCTCCGCTTCCTCTTTTACTCCCGTTGTTACCCTGCTCTTGAGACGAGAGGGTTTCTAACCGCAGCCACACGCACGTCCGCAAGCAACACAACGGGTCACAGGCAGGCTAAACCCCTCCAAAATGGCACAGGGCTGCTTCCGCCAATGTTGGGCAATGGCATTCTTAAAATTAAATGCTTTTTCCTTTTTCTCTGCTCCCTCATCTCTGCCATTATTGCTCCTAAATCGTGTTCTAGCTTTGCTTAACAGCACCCTGAAGAAAGGTCTAAACCCTTGCAACCGTAACACGCCGTATTCACAAATGTTCACATTTTGTCACCAGCAATCCTGGTTTTGTGGGCGACACCTCTCACCTCCTCTCAGACACAAGGATCGGGGGGGACAAGTGGAAACTAAGCATGGGAGAGCTCCAGATGAAAATCCGAAGACGTGTCTCTACGTAGAGAGTGGCATGGGTCTGGAGCGACCTCCCCTAAGCATGTTGCGGAAGCGTGACCACAGTGGGGGGTCCTTTTAAGAAACAGTTAAGGGATCGCCAAGTCTGTGGCACTACTAAAAAAAAAACCACAAACGTCTCGTTGGCAACTTTCTGTAACTCCCTTTTGATACAGTGCGCCAGGCCTCAGATCTCAACACACGTATGCGTACATGCTCAGCCTAAATTAGGACGCTGGGAGAAGAGCTTGCCACTGGCCTGAGAGTGTATACGAGCTCACCCCAGCTAGGGTGCTAGAGTGCTGAATGCTGTGCACGCCAAGGGCAGGTGGCAGAAGAAAGGGTGCCAAGAGATCATATCTCTCCGCCTGTCCTGTGCTCTGCTTTTCACACTCATTCTCAGGCTGTATCGCGCTGCATCTCCTCCTCGCCTGCTATCTCAGGATCTCTGCTGTCACACTTTCTCACACAGCGCGCCTCTCTGCTAGCGGCGGCGGGGGCGGGCCTGTCTGGGGCTCGGGAGGGCACAGAGAAGCCGTGCAGACCGCCGCAGGAGGGGGGGGGGGGGGTGAAAGTCTCTCAGGTGAGGCAGCTGCTCACCTGCCCTCTACCCCTCCGGGTCTCTAGAGTGGCCCGATCCGCTCGGTCCAGGAGCTGGAGCCCGTGTAGGATGGGGGGGGGGGCTGCGCAGGCCGAGCTGGCCCACGCTGAGAGTGCGGTCAGGATCCGTCCCCGAGTCGAAAAAGGCAGAAGCGGCTCTTCAAGGGTGCTGGGAAGACGTGCAGCTAAGTGGGACAGGAACAGAAGGCGCGTTTTTTTCTTCGCGGGGGTGGGGGGGGTGAACGGTGATTTGCCAGCGGCGCTCGTCTTCAGCTTTTCCCACGTTTTAACTCTGTTCGTACCACGCGGTTCCGTGTCTGTGCTGTGGTTTGCCTGTGGTTTGCATCATGCCCCGCTGTAGAGGGTTTATCTCGGCGCGCTGCGGTATGCTACGGCGGATCTCAGCACGCCGACGCGAGACATCACGCCTTCTGCGCAGGAGGACGGACACGCGGCCGGTGGGAAAATGTGATCACGCCTCGGGCAGAACCCCCCCCCCCCCCACCAGAATGAAGATCAGACTTTATTGATCCCGAAGGTCATCGGCAGCCCAGCCCAAGAAAAGCAAGACAGACATCAGAATAAGTTCAAATTAAAATAACTCCAGCACGAGAGTAATTCAATAAGTATACAGAATACAAAATAAAATAAAGTTGGCAAAATAGGTGTGTGCAAGATATGCTAATTATCACTGTAAAACAATAAAAGACGTGCAAAATACGCATAGGTGTGTACAGATTGAAACTACCCCAGCATAAACAGCATACTAATGCAGTGTCCAAAACTCCTCACAACATTCCACTGGGATGCATCCCGGCATTCAGATTCCCAGCTCTCATGCCATACCCTGGGCAGTAGTCTCTCAAACCTCTAGGGGGATCCAAGAGGGAGACCCCCCCCAAAAAAAGATCTGACCGAAAGGAGGTCTTTGCTGCGAACGCCTGAATCTGCCCCAGCAGGTTCCCGGCCCGTCAGGAAGAGCCGCATTTTTAAAACGAGGCGCCGGGAGAGGCCCGGAACACGCCTGACCTCCTCAGGAATCCGCGCCGACTCCGGCTTCCGGAGTCTTTTCTTCCCAGAAGTCATCCACCTGATGCCAGCTGGGCTTTGAGCCCCCCTGTCGACGCAACTTCGCCGGACGGGTTTCCCCCAGAGCGCCAGCCACACCATCCGAAACCTGCGGCAGGTTTAACCCTCCTCCCAAGCTCAGTTCAACACAACTCCTCGTGTCTCGCGGACATCAGGCTCTCACGGAAAAGCCCTATGGTAGGACCGTGCTTTTTAAAGCGTCTTTTCACGGGGCTGGCAGGCTGAGGCCTGCTGGAGGTCCTGGGCTCTGCTGTTCCCTGAATGAAGGCACACCGGCCAATGGCACTCAGGAGAAGGCGCTCGGGAATGTGCCCGGACGATCAGGCCCTGCGCGCCAGGTCGCTTCCTGCCACACGGGAGTCAAGGCCAGGGTCCGCTTCAGAGCGGCCGAGACGCCTGCGCAGGGCTGCCAGCTTCTCTCCACCAGGGCACGGCGGGTCAAACCGGCGCCGGAGGGACCCGCTTACAAGCCGACACGTGCGCGCGTGTGCACAAATAATAATAAAAAAAAAAGGCACAGGCGACAGAACCCACAAGATGCACACAGGGGCCTGGCTGGCAAAACAAGTCTCCCTTGTGCTACAGGCCATCATCCTACTGACCCGGCTACTGGCCATCCTACTGACCCGGCTACTGGCCATCCTACTGACCGGTCTACTGGCCATCTTACAGGCCAGGCTACTAGCCATCCTACTGACCGGTCTACTGGCCATCCTACAGGCCGGGCTACTGGCCATCCTACTGACCGGTCTACTGGCCATCCAGCAGGTGAGGACCAGCCCCGCATGGAAAGACTCTCCAGGCTTTATTCTCCCCAGACAAGGGCCGCGCTGCCCAGAAGCCCTCAGCAGACTCGCACAGCAAGGACAGGCTATGGGGGGGGGGATTAAATTACAGGTCCTTCGCAAGGTGGGCACCCCCTGAGAAACACGACACCCCTCCCCTCCCCGTGGACTCTTGAGGTTCGGTGCCGATGGCTGCCAGTCGTGGGAGGGCACTGCGGAGCCCTTCTCGGAGGCTGGCAGCAGCCAGAGCCTTTCCCAGGGCGGGGAGAGCGAGAGAGAGGGAGCGGGCAGGCAGCTTTCCCAGGCCCAGCCTCCCTCCTCAGGCTGCTCCCATGGGAAAATCGTCTGCCCGCGCGGGAGGAGGGGCCAGGCGCCGGCGAGGGTCACGTGTGCCGGCCGGCCGGCCAGTGAGGGGGGAGTGATTTGATTCAAACGGGAAAGCTGGGTGTCAGGTGAGTCGGGG